AATCTGTGCAGGTATCAGGATCATTTAGTAAATAAATGTATATTAAGTGTGGTGCCCCACAAGGAACTGTCTTAGGTCCGCTGTTATTCAATATATATTTAAATGATATTTTCCAAATTAATTGTATTGGCAAAATAACTAGTTTTGCAGATGATACTGCAATATTATATGAACGCACTGACTGGTCTGATCTGCAAATGTAATTGAAAATGATTTTATCAAAATTATTCGGTGGTTTAACAGTAGAAAATTAAGCAATAACTACTCTAAAACACATTTTTTACCATTTGGATCTTATGCTAGACATCTGCCAAATTACACAAATTTCTCCTTCAATATTAATGATCAAAAAATGCAAATTAATAGAGTGCCCAACATAAAATACCTTGGAGTGGTCTTGGATCCTCACTTACGATGGGACATCCATGTCAATTATATTTTAAAGAAAGTTAGATTTGTATCCTACAAAATTAAATACCTTGGGAATATATTGACAGAAAAATATCTTCGAACATTATACCATGCACTGATTGAGCCTCATCTCACATATGGTATATTAGCATGGAGAGCGGCATGTTCCTCACATACCTATAATTTAGATGTTTTTCAAAAAAGTATTCTTAAAATGATATTTAAAAAACCGAAACTTTATCCCACTGAAAAATTATACGCAGATGTTCGAATGTATGATATAAGACAGCTTTATTTCTTACACAGTATCACTCACTACCATAAATTTGTAAACACCGACCAAAAAATTAAACATAATCATTTCACAAAATTCGTGGCACAGTAGTTCCTCAACCGCATAAATCTATAATGCAGCGATCATATCTCTATTTAGCGCCTGAATTTTATGAAATTATACCTAAAGACTTAAAAGATTTACGTTTCGGAAATTGTTTCAAAAGAAATTTAAAAAAGTGGCTACATTCTATATCTAGGACTGAAATTCATAAACTCATAAATACGAACATCAACTAAATACATAATCTACTGTAGCTAATTTTTGTCCTTTTTTGTCATTTGCATTCTACAGTTTCAACTTAAATTATTGGTCCACGTACAGGCGATGCCTTCTATTGGGCCTGTTTTGATTTTATATTTATTTACTCATATTGTTTGTTATCTTTGTACATTGAGTGAATAAATATTATTATTATTATTATTATTAATGGGAATTTTCAATTTGGAATACACAGCTTTTCTAACCTCCTTCTTGGGAAGTCGAGGTAGCAGCTCCGCAAATATATATTGTACTCCAACTTTTATTTTCCTATTGGCATACATCTATTTTCAGAGTACGGCATAAAATCAATTTGCTGATAGTCCGGACAGAAATAGAAACTGTTAATAATGCAGCTGAATAATGGTGCATTTGTAGGTCGATACGAGTCAGGGGAATGGTACAGTAACCATTAGCAATGGTCAGGTCGACTATAGTTGTAGTCACCGTTCCTGGCGGTTACGTCATCAACGCCATATGAAATAAGTAAACAGAACGAGCCTCCGTACAATGGGCGCAGACTGATCTTCCGTGTATCTGCTACTCTCTCCAGTACGCATGAAGTGGGTAATAGGGGACCGCTGTTTTCATTCTCCTGCTGTAAATGATCGTATTTTCGGGCATTGTACAATTTTATATTGAAGACTGATGACAGGACAACATAAATTGCATGCCGATATCAAGTAAGTTGTCACTCTAACAAATATGATTGAAGGGCTCGACAAAGTTTTCGGGTCAGAGATACACAAGTAAAAAACATATGTCTTTGAGGTTACTGAACAAACGTTCACACACGGATAGGTTGCACGTGTAGTCTTACTTTGATCTGCCAAGAACGGTAAATGCAACTAAGCTAGAGGAAGCATGAGTATATCTATTTGTATCGGGCAAGGAATTCAACGTGCTGATCAGATTGAAGTTATCGATGTGTTGTTAGGTATTATTACACCCAGGCGCTTAGATTTTTGTTGACTATGCATTTGCAATAGCCACTCACAAAAATTTCGCCATTGCACTTCGTCGCCGGGTTGCAGACATTGCACATTTTGCCGATTTTAAGGACGTGAAACCTCCCGATTTAAAATTCCCCACGCAAAACTTTGGGAACATGGTTACCGGGCTGCAGACTGCCAAGTACTTGTTCCAGGATCATCCAACACCAAATTAATCACTTCCAGTTCCTCTTGAACAGTATGCCACCGAGTAATACGAATAAGACTCGAATAAAATACGCATCATCAAAGGGCATTCAATCTTAAATGAATTCCCCACCGATATTACCCCGTAAATAAACAATATCCCACAGCAATCCCATAAATCCATAATACAGGAACTTATCTCGGTACATCATAAAAACATATATTAACCTCATAGATCAGCGAGAACCTAAACCGACGAAGCATAAAAATGAGTAACTGCCTTAATAAAAAAATAATGTGTATCGCGGTCCGGCGTTATAGCAAACTTCATTTCGCTCAAGTGCTTCGTTTCGCCGGCCCCATCCTTATTGCGAACATATATTTCCTGTCTTGCACCGTCGTCAAGGCAGACTGCTCGACAGACAGATCTTCGTCGTCGACGAATCAGTTCAACCCTATCCGCGGTCGCTCATAAAATCGGATGGCCGTCTATCAGGGACGATATACGACCCTTCCGAGGAAGCTTCAGACCTTACACGCTAGAATTTGTCTTTATGGCGTGAATGGCTTCTTTAGAGAAAGTGCGCGTATGCAAATTTAAGTACCGTACACATAATGATTGAAAATAGGAAAAGGATCCTACATGCTTATCCTCACAGTATCTGATTTGCTTTGGACTAATGTGAAAAAGCCTTCGAGTAGTCTCAAAACCGTCGTCTTGTGCATTTCGGCATTTGACTTCGAAGACTCAATTATGAAAGTATTTCGGGACTGCTAAAAGGACTTGCCAAGCTTTATTACTATAGCTCACTCACTACTATCATCATCTATAAAGAGTTATGTTCCACAAGAGAAAGTTCACCGCAAAAAAAATATAAAATGTTGTCAGTTAGCCCCCGACGAAGGTATATGGTCTTCGTTCATTCATTGCATTCGTCGGATGTGTTGAAAATATGTCTATATATAGGGTGTTTTAGATAGACTTGTCAATATTTCTAGGATAGAAAGAACATTCTAAAATAACAAAAAAGCTTCCATATATATGGGCCAAAAGATGTCCCCCTAACAAGATACAGAAAGTATAGGAGTTATGTTATCTGGACCCCTAGTAGAAAATATTTTCTACTCCACTGGTTTTTTTGGAGAAAAGATGTGCATTTTATAAAATACTATTTAATTTTTTATAAATTTTGTCTGATCACTCGTTTTACAGATTTGGAGGTTGGAATACTTGAAGAAATGTCGTAAAATACTTGTACCCTTTGAAGAGGTTTAGCTGAAAACACCGTGAAGCTTGATATTGGAAACACTATATGGCATGTGAAGGAAGCTACGTCACCTCATTACAATATCAATTGAATAATATGCGCGTCTTATCCTCAATCAGTAGCATAGAAGCTTACCATTCTTTAAACCTTTTCTATGCACGCCACTGGTTTTCATGGTATTACTCACGTTAGATTTTTTTGCATGTCTAAAGTTACAACTAGTAGCTATGGAACCAATCTTATGTGAGTAGAATTCTCATTATTTTGCTCCTGAAATTACCGGCATTTTTTCTCAATGTTCTGTAGCATTTCGGATTATATGAGCTCAACAAAGAAGATATCATAAATCGTTAGCAACCTCGGACACGAAGTATAAGGACGAAGTATACAGAAGGTTCTTAAGACCGTTTGTACTACGCCAGGCATTTTCAAAAGAGACGGAGGTCCCTATGGCATAGAGCTCGGGCTTGTGCTGAATCCAGAGGTGGTCTCTTTCAAAACCTCATTTAGATTGGATGTTACAGCATCTATTCAGCATGTTATGTCCTCATAAATATGGAAGTAAACACGTAATTTGTATCAAATGTAGTGTTTATTGTTGCCACATTACATTCTTACTCGTATTAGCTTTGCTTATTTATTTTTGAGATCAACGTTTTTTTGTTCTGCAGTTTGTTTATCTATAAACAAAAATGGATATGATGGCAAAACCAGTGATGTACACAGGAATAGTTTAGTGAATTTTAATCTTCTACGCTGATTGTAGGTAAGACGAGCATATTAACCATATACTGTTGTAATTAAGTTACATAGCTGTTTTCACATACAATAGTAATAGTGATTCTAATATCAAGCTTCACAGTGTTTTCAGAATAGGGAACGGGAGGCTGAACCTTTTCATAAGAATATTTCAGGAATTTACCTCAAATACTGAAATCCAAATATCTCCAAAACAAGTGACCTGACAAAAATTCTTTTTTTTTGAGAAGGTCGGTGACGTTGGATATTTCCTACTAGGGCTACAGGTACCCTAATGTCTGCATCCCTGGGCAATTTTACGGTGAAATGTACGTCTGAAATATGTCTAATAGGAGCTACTAACCCCAAACAAATACCCCCAATGCTCTATAACTCCCAACTTCAAGTTCCCAAAACCAGCAAACATTTTCTGAAAGTCCGCAGATGTCAAAAAAACGAAAGGAGCGATTTTTGTATTTTTCGATTTTTCTCGTAGTTCAACCGCGACTGGACAGACTTGATTTCCAAATAAAGAAAGATTTTTCGACCTTTGCATAGAAGCAATCTTGTATGAAAATTGCATCAACATTCAGATAGCACTTTCCAAGTTATAGCAGGGATAAGGATTAGCGAACAAACATACCATCAAGAAGATTGGCAGGAGTGAGTGACATTGATCTTTCTGATTTACAAGTATGTACCATAATATCATCCAAAAACATATCTCATTTTGTGTACTTCATAAGCCAGTTGTCGTGAAAAGTAAGAAGTCTTAACCAAATGAATGATGAGCATTATGCTGTTTTTAGTTTTATTCAGATCCAAGATTGATTCTTAATATTCTGTTACAGGTGAGTTTCAAGAAACTATGGTGAATATTCGGACATTTCTCATAATGGTGAGTATAAGCTTCAATTTTTTCAGGCGTCGTAAATGCTGGGAAGCGTCATAACTTAATCTTTCACAATAAGATAACATTTATTTTTCCTGTTAATTTTTATAGCGGTTTCGCGTTTTTCACAGAGAATAAATTGGTACTTTATTGCAGAGGTAATATAAAGTAGAATCTGCTGACAACTAGCACATATCAGCATATTTCATATACATGACTACTTCTGTCTATCAATCTGTATCAAATTATTTTTCTGAACTGTTTTCAGTAAAACTATAGTATGGGGTTGTCCAAAACGGACGCAGGAAAGTAAACGCATATTAAAACAAGAAAGATTGATATTCAAATCAAGTTGGGTACTTTATTTTAAAGGTTCATTTATACCATTTATGTATGAAAAATAATATCGCTCAAATGTTCACCACGACTGGATTTACAGACGTCCACGCGGTGGTCGAAATTTTCAATGACATTCTGCAACATGGTCGGTTCTATGGCATTTATCTCGGCAATGATGTTGTTTTTGAGTTCTTGGAGGGTGGCTGGTTGACGTAGACTTTGCTTTTCAAATACCCCATAAAAAGAAGTCCAAGGGAGTCAAATCCCACGATCTTGGTGGCCATGACACATTTCCTCTGCGCGAAATCACGCGATCACCGAAGAAGGACTGCAATCTATGGATATTGACGTTGGTTGTGTGGCATGTTGCACCGTCTTGTTGGAAATAAACATCGTCCATATCCATTCCTTCAAGTTGCGGCAAAAAATAGTCCTCTATCATCACGTGATATCGCTCAGAATTGACGGTAACGGCGTCCCCGGCCGCATTTTCGAAAAAGTAAGGTCCGATGATGCCTTTTGACCACAATGCACACCACACAGTCACTTTTTGAGGATGCATCGGCTGCTCTTGATACTCACGGGGATTTTCGTTCGCCCAGATGCGGCAGTTTTGCTTGTTTACCGTCCCATTGAAAGTGAAATGCGCTTCGTCGCTGAACATGATTTTTGATGAAAAATTGGCATCAATTTGGCGGTGTTCAAGGAGCCAATCTGAGAACGTTCGGCGTGAAAAATGGTCGGCCCGACGCAGCTCTTGCGTCAATTGGATCTTGTAGGCGTGTATATTCAAATCCTTGTGGAGAACGCGGAGCAAACTGGTTCTCGAAATGCCCAATTCTTGGGATCGACGCGTTGTTGATTGTTTCGGATCGTCTCTCACACTCTCCTTCACAACAGCAATATTTTCCGGTGTGCGAACGCTCCTTGGCCGGCCAGAGCCTGGCAGATTTGCCACAGAACCTGTTGCCTCGAATTTACGCACCAGACGACCGATGGTTGTTTCGTTTGGGCGGTTGTTGCGACCGAAATGTTCACGAAGCGCGCGGAACGTGTTTTTTATTTTTGCACCATTTTGTAGTGCTCTTGAATAAATTTAATGCGGTCTTCAATCGAATACGACTCCATAGCGATCAATGGTAAACATTCAACTAACAAAATGACATGTCGGTGACAGAAAACAAAGATGGCGTCTATGTCAAATTGACGTTTACTTTCCTGCGTCCCTATTGGACAACCCTTTATTATTGAAAATCTGAAAAAAAATTGTCATAAGACTCTATACTGCTTCTTTGCCACGTTCATTTATTGTAACTTCTGACTGTATCAAATTTCTGCAATTAGTTATCTTTCATCAAGAATGGAATCGTAAACAATAGATGGAGATCCAAAATATATCTACAATGCCAGTGGAGATTCCATTTTGCCAGTTTATATTGCTGCCGGTATTGCCTATCAGACCAAATAATTAATTAATACAAATGTGTGGCAGAGTTTGCCGAAATCGTATATCAAGTGATGAAAGTCCACAAGGTAATTATTTTGCATCCATTAGTAGAGTTTTATGGGGATTGCATCCCAAATTACCACAGAATATCGTATGTACCGGGTGGGCCAATGATAAAGGACGTCGATTGTATCTCGACAACCTTTCAATCTAGAGCAATCGGTTAAAAAATTTCATAATAAAGGTGACCTAGAAGAATCGGTTGAAATTCATTTCAGCTTCCTAAAATGACCTCTAGGTTATTTTGCAAAATAAATAATTGTCACACCCTTTGAATAGGTGTATCGTAATTCTTGGTTTGCTCAGGGTGGACTGTCATCTCAGAGAAAATCACATAACTTCTCTTTGGTTTCACCGATTTTGTTTGTCTATTCGTTCGTGATGAATGCTCGATCCTGACAGATTAGTTCATTCTGTGACCGCTAGATGGCAATTTGTGGATGTTTCAACATTTTTTTTGATGTTTTCAAGAAATACAATGATATGCTTTTTCCATATTAGTCGGAAAGTTTATTACAATTTCAGATCAATATCTTTATTCGTTATGAAGATATGTGAAGAAATTTGCTTAAATTACAGTTTTCAAGTACTTTCGGATACCAAAGAGGACTTATGTTATGACTAGTTGTGTGAAATGTACCAATATGACCAGACTTTAAGATATTTGACTTTAAAATTAATTTATACGCTTTCTGATAACCGCTAGGGGGCATAGCTATCGCCTGACATATGGAAAACGTCCTCTTTCCAATTATACCTCATATTTTATCTCGCGCTATCTTGGCTTTGCAATATGAACAATTCATAAAATGCCCTGTTTTCTGCCTACTTGTCCTATTTAAACACACTAGCGGTGTGAATAATGAAAGAAAATATTAATTAGGTCTATTGCACCATGCTAATGGAGATCAGAACTCAAAGAATAAACTGGTTTTTTCAATTAATATTTATGTTAGAGATGTATGTAGTCCTAAAAGGAACCTATTTGATTTCCCAGCGATTTGGAGTACTTCCAGATAGATTATTGATCAAGTGTTGATACAGGTTTTATTATAATATTTGACGTTTGCATTAATTGACTACTACTATTTTGCTTCTGCCCTAGAATGTCATGACAATGGCACACTAGGTTTTGTTAATACACCTTGAAAACGAATGATTCGTTACAATACAGTGGATGTGACACATCTCATAATTCGCACCTTTAGTGGGTGTAAATAGGAGAAACAGATATTCAGGTATATTTCAAAGACATCTGAGGTAAAGTAGGGGGTATAATTGAAGAAAATATGTTTAGTTCATTAACCAGGCGATAGCTATGCTCCCTAGTGGTTAAGGAAAAGCGTAAAAATAAATTTTAGTGTGAAATATCCTGAAATCATGGAATACTGCTACATTTTACACTACTATTCATAGCATACATGAAAATTGTAATTTAAGCGCATTGTCTAATATATTTTTACAACAAATGAATATACCTATCTGCGATTTTCACCATTTTTTAGGATTTTCCAATCAATATAAAAATGATATCGTTGTATTTGAAATTTCCGGAAAAATAAAAAATCGCGGACACACCCGCAAGCTAAACTAATCTCAGACGATTAAGATTCATTAAAAGCGCAGGTGAACATCTTTACAAGCAAAATTAAGACCACCAAAATCAGTGCGGCCAAACAGAAGTTATGTGACTTTTCTTAAAATGATATTCACGCCTTCTCCCACCATAAACTTGCCAAGATATGAAAAAACTACATACTCAATAAGGTTTGCGGTCAACATAATAGGCAAGGCTATTTGATGTGTATGTCAACTATGACGATTGAATTTTTGAAATTGGAATGACGACACCTGGGGCAGTTTTCGGAAGCTGAAAATAATTATATCGTCAGTCGGTCTTACAATTGTATTGCCTCCTTGATTTTCATAGTAATCTCTCTCCTTCAGAAAGTCTAGGGTTTTCTCTAGATTTCACCTATTCCGTTTCAGCGTCAGCGCTCCCCTATTATGAAACTATGACTTCTTTTGGAATCCTAGGGAATTTCATGCTGATAAAACAGATGATATAAATCAAAAGCATGAACAACTTGATACAAATAGATATTTGTGCCATAACCATAAAACAGAGCGCTGACATGGAGGGCATCCTACAATTTATTGTAGGAAGGACTGACGATGCGGCCTTAGGAGTTAATTTCATGTTGAGCGGATACTGCCAGCCTCCTTTATTATTAGCACACCCGGTACATGGGTTACTATGTCAACAGTATATAAAATAAGCAGGGAGATAAATAAATAATAATCACTATTCCTATTCAATATATCAAATACATTATTAATATTTATCCACTAAACCGTTGTTTATCAGTTTAACAAAATATCCTATGTGTTGACGGGGTTGCCTTAATGCTGTGAAGGTACTAATAAGGCGAAATGAGGTAGACTCGCTGGTTATTACGTTCAGAGCGTTCAATTGTCTAGAATAAATATAAAATTGTATGACAAAGATGTACCAAACGAATGTAATTTAAGAGGCAAGATTATATCAATAAATAACAGAATGTGATAACAGGTAGGCTAAAGCACTGTTCTCGCTAAAAGGCAACTTGACTAAATTTTCGTTACGTCGGTTTTGTGACCTCACCGTCTCGTTTTGTGGTTATCTAAGAAGTCAGTAATTATATATTTACTAAAAATATTGCGAAAATAAGTACGAGCCCCTTCCCACTTCAGTTGGCCCAACTATTGAAATATTAGTTTTTTTCTTATCAAACATAAATAATAAAAATGTAGCAGCGTGTCATAGGTTTAAAATATTAACAATGAATATTTTGATAATATACCTATAGTAGAAAACATCAACTTTATGACTCCCTAATCAAATTTGCAGCAAAAAAATAACACATGTTGCAATTACAGCATATCAACCTATTTTAATTTCAATGCAAAATAAGTCTATAACGCATAGGTGGCTGTGAAAAATAAAAGCCATGAGAATTGTTTTTATTAATCACATCTGTCAGAATACGTTTAAAATAGTTTTGGGTAGTTAGGGTTTTCAAAATGGGTAGAGGAAAGGTTATTAGTGAGAAAATTCGGTTACTGATAATTAATTTTCTTAATTCTGGGAATTCAAACACAGAAATTGTAACTTTGTTAGACTTATCGCGGTACAGTGTGAGAAATATTGTTAGAAGATATAACGTAACTGGTTCAGTTAATATTAACCCACGATATGTGAAAAAAAGTAAAACACCATCGGGATATCCGATAGTACAAATTCTGGGTAAATCATTCGACGGTATTTCATTTCAGACATTTGTCAAATTGTTGTATAACACCTGCAGGAAACACCAAAATATTCTAATAAACTAAAGACAACATGGACGATGTCATGATTATACACAACCACCCGCCATATTGGGCAAACATGTATTCCTCTATTTAATATTAAGCAATTATGTTTCAGTTCGAAATTACAGATATAAAGTGATAAACATTAGTGTAATTGTGTCTAAATATAGGATTTGTGCAAGATTTAATGCAGATCAGTTCAGTTTTCCATCTTAAAAATCTAGACATTCTTTTGATCATTATTAAAATATGAATCAAATACGAAGTCCGTCGAAATTGTGTAACTACTTGGCACGATAATGACAATAAAATTTGCTGCGCAAGTAATTCAATAGCCCTATATCACAGTGTAGAAGTTTATCATATACCTGCGTATGAAATTCACAATGGCTGATATGTAAGTAAACAAGATTACTGTAATGTGTTAGTTATATATTCTTCACTTCGTCTATACAATACATAAGAAATAGTTTGGTTGCAATAAAGTAGAATCACGTAACAGAATCAGGTATAGTTGACAAAAACTGTATCTTGCACTGACGCAAATGTCCTATAGCAGCTGCAAGAGGCTTACACTTTTGTTGTATAACTGTTACCTGCACCCTTATACAACCTCTTAAATGACTGAAGTGTCCCATTAGGTGTGCCCCTTCCGCTTGTATAGCTGTTCTAAGGGTACTTGGGAATGATAACATATAAACTTGAAAAATTCGAGATTGCCATGCATTAGCAAACGTCCAAACCTGCGTTTAAATTTAACAGCTAGAACATCGACCTGTTATTTCTTGCATTCCCATTGGCTAAAGGAATAACCGATGAATTTATTATATGTACATTCATAAGAAAAAAATACATGAAAGTTGTCTTGTTTTCTCTGTACAAAAGCATCATGTTGGAATCAAAAAGTATTCTTGCTTATAATACAATCGCTTTTTCACGATTTTATCCAATAATTCAATAGAAATCACTGATATAGCCTTGACAGCTTCCGTCAAACTGCATTTCGATAAGGTCTAAGCTTCAAAGGTTAGTGAAATCGAGCCTTAACATGCTTTCAAACGCTGTATCAGGCTTATTTTATCTTAGCTCTTACTATATACTTTCTTAAGATGTGGAACGATGCTTGATACTCTTCACAATAGATTTCGTGCAGAAACGGTTCATTCAATCCCCATGAGGGACGCGTATCTATTTAATCTAAAGTAGTCTGTGACAGCCCCAGTCAAAAGAACCGACTTTTCAGGTTTGATCAGCTATTACCGCGTCCGACGTTTGTTTCGGATTGATATAAGCTTCCTTTGCTTCACAATAACTGTCACCGTCACCGGTCATTCTGGGCAGTATTAATCTGCTTGATCTCGCGCCTCGTGATTCCCAACATCGCTTCGGGGCCAATCCAACAGTCTATGATGCCTACGTCATACCAGATGATCTGCTAACTCGGTATCTGATACATCACTGTTCTGACACTCACAGTATGCTGCTGCTTTTCACGCCAACTACTAACAACGACAGTTTTGCACCAGAGCTGATCTTTCTGCCTTAATCGTGAAGCATAGGCATATTATTGTTTGGAATGGCTTAGTTTATGTTCCCAAACCTACAAAAGGCAATTCGCGATTTTTAGAGCTCGGAGAAACCTTTCTTGCCCTAGTG